AGTGTTTATTCTTGTACATTTTCTCATCTTTCTCCTGGGTTCATAGGATCCTGGAGATTACCTAGTCCAATCCTTTTGTTTCAGAAACAAAAAACCTGAGGCTCAGAGAGGCTAAGTCAAATGCCTAGGGTCACACAGGGCAACTGTGGGAGGTGGATCCTTGAGTCCCAGTCCTTTAAACTGGTTGCCAAATGACATTCTAGAACCTTTCCCCCCAAACCCCTTTTTAATGACAGGGTCTGGCTCTGCCACCCAGGCTGGAGTGCAGTGGCGCGATCTTGGCTCACTGCAACCTCTACCTCCTGGGCTCAAGCCATTCTCCCTCCTCAGCCTTCCAAGTAGCTGGGACAACAGGCACATGCTACTACGCCCAGTTAATTTTTGTAATTTTGTTCTGTAGAGACAGATTTGCCATGTTGCTCAGGCTGGTCTCGAATTCCTGGTCTCAAGCAATACACCTGCTTAGGCCTCCCAAAGTGCTGGGATTACAGGTAGATTGCTCCCAGTCAGGCTTCCCTTCCCCCACCTGCACCCCCCTAACCTGGCCTAGATTCACAGGAACTGTAATCACAGCTGACACACTCGATTTGGAATCAGCACAGAGAGCACTCTGAAAATTGTCAAATAGGGTCTCTGAAACTTGTATGTATTAAATAAGGTGTTCCCTCCTCACAGTCCTATTCTTTTGCACAATCATATAAATAATCTGGTTAAAGTCCTTGAACTATAACTTGTATAATTGTTAGTTTTCCCCTTTTGAAGGGGCCTAAGAGAAAGGTTTGAAGGTTCAAGATCTTCTCCTGAAGACCCTGAAGCACCTTTGCTCTTTTTTTTAACCTTAAAATATGGCACTCAGGTTTTTATCCCTCTCCCCAACGCCATGTTTCCTTTCTGTATTAGTCATGTGCCTGATCCTAGAGTCTGTTTTCCCCACTTTAACTGGGGAGGGCTGGACAAGGTGGAATTCCAAGTGCAGGAGACAGGATGTGACATAGGTGAGATGCCCACGGCTCACTGACTGAAACTTCGATGGCTCTTCCCTGTTTCCTTGTGCAGGGCCCCCCTTCTCTCCAGGGGCTCCCCTGGCTCTCCTCCTCCTTTCCTGCCTGCTTTGCAGCTCTTGCTACTATTTTCCTTTTCTTTCACTGCTCCCACCCTGGCCCAATTTACTTCCCAGAAATATCACAGGGCCAGCTGGGCGCAGCGGCTCACCCCTGTAATCCCAGCACTTTTCGAGGCTGAGGAGGGTGGATCACTTGAGGTCAGGAGTTAGAGATCAGCCTGGCCAACACGGTGAAATCCCGTCTCTACTAAAAATACAATAATTTGCCAGGCGTGGTGGTGGGCGCTTGTAGTTCCAGCTACTCGCGAGGGAGGCTGAGGCAGGAGAATCACTTGAACCCGGGAGGCAGATGTTGCAGTGAGCCGAGATCACGCCATTGCGCTCCAGCTTGGGTGACAGAATGAGACTCTGTCTCAAAAAAAAAAAAAAGAGAAAAGAAAAGAAATATCATAGGGTCCTGGACCACCTCTGAAACCACAGAGAACCCTGCTCCCTGGTAAACATGATGCAGAAACATCTTAAGTGCATTAGTGTAAAGGGAAGGTGCACACGTGCTTCCTTCAAAGTCCATCACTTTGAATATGTAAACAATGCACTCAATGATACTATGGTCCCCATACTGGGAATCTGCATAGGTGATGCCACCTGGAAGAATGGAGTACCCTACAGTTCCCTACCTCTTCCCTTGGAGAACACTTGCAGATGATAAGGCAGCAAGTTAGGGTGCAGGGAGACAGAACCCTATAGGTGCTTGTCTGTCCAAGTTCATTCAATAGTTTTGGAGTCATCTCATTATATAACCATCCCCAAGGTCAACATCTGACTCAGAAGTCTCACTTTGATCAGATGGAACATCTTCAGATTGCAGGCCCTCTGAAGAAGGGCTGGGAAAGGTTAGCTGTGTCCCTTCCCCACTGGCCAGCAAATGGCTTGACTGCACATTGTCAGAATCTTCTGGGTCAACCATCTCTTCCGGATGAGATGATATCATCAGAGGGGCTTCTTCTAAGTCATCACTGTCCTCATCATCAAGAACCCTCAAAAACACAGAGTTTAAATCCACATTGAAGGTAATTCTGCCCCCAGACCCCTCAGTGGAGCTGTAGTCCTCTTCGGGAAAGGGGTCCTGGGGCGGACTCTCTCTCCTCTCACAGGGCGCACTCAAGAGCTCCAACCGCTGAGGGCTGCACTTTGGCGTCGTGGGGAGCTCCACATCAACCTCAGGCAGGTCAGGCTCCTCCTCGGAGTCTGGGTCTGTAAACTGGGATTCTGTAGAGGTGGCGGAGGTCTGACCCAGAGGCCTCACAGTCAGTCCATGCATGGTATAGCCACCGCCACTTGTCCTGAGTGCTGCCTCAGTATCACTGTCACTTTCATCATCATAATTATAATCCCACACTTTCTTCTTTCTGTTGATGTAAATGACCTCCACTATATCCATGGCTTCCAACGGTGGCAGGTTAGGAAATGGGCAGGCTAAAAAGTTATGAAAATTCTTAAAAAAAGAAAAAGAAAGAGAGAGTCCGTATCAGCTATGACTGTTTGCTCTTTATTTTTTACATAATAAAACTTAATCACTGAGGCTCAGGGATGCACGCTTGTAATTCCAGCTACTGGGGAAGCTTAGGCAGAACGACTGTTTGAGCTCAGGAGTTTCAGACTGTAGTGCATTATGATTGCGCCTGTGAATAGCCACTGCACTCCAGCCCTTAGCAAGACTTTGCCTCTAAAAAAATAAAAAATAAACTTAATGAGATTAACTGAACGATGATGCAGATGACGATGATAATAACAGCAATAATAACAGCTAACAGTTACACCATTTGCTGGGCACGACTCTTGGTGCTTTATATATAATTTACCTTTCCCTCACAATTGCTCTATGAAGTAGACTTACTATTCTTTTTTTTTTTTTTTTTTTTTTGAGACGGAGTCTCGCTGTGTTTCCCAGGCTGGAGTGCAGTGGCACGATCTCAGCTCACTGCAACCACCACCTCCCAGGTTCCAGCAATTCTCTGCCTCAGCCTCCTGAGTAGATGGGATTAGAGGTGCCCACCACTACGCCCGGCTAATTTTTGTATTTTTAGTAGAGACGGGGTTTCACCATGTTGGCAAGGCTGGTCTTGAACTCCCGACCTCGTGATCTACCTGCCTCGGCCTCCCAAAGTGCTGGGTTTATAGGCGTCAGCCACTGCGCCTGGCCAGGCTTACTGTTCTTATGCCCACTTTATAGATGAGAAAATGAGGCGCAGAGGTTAGGAAACTTGCTCAAGGTTCATGACTAGTGAGTGGGAGCAGCTGCCTTTCAAACCAGGCAGACTGCTGGCCTCAGAGACTTTGTTTGCTCTGACTGACTCCTCTTAACTTCCTCTCCTTTGGCTGCTTCTTTATATTTTTAAGTTATTTATATATTTTTAGAACTAGGGTCTCACTCTGTCACCGAGGCTGGAGTGCAGTGGTGTGATCACAGTTCACTGCAGCCTCCACCTCCTGGGCTCAAGCAATCCTCTCACCACATCCTCCTGAGTAGCTGAGACCACAGGCATGTGCCACCACGCCTGGCTAATTTATTTTTATTTTCTCTAAGAAGAGGTTTCCCTATATTGCCCAGGCTGGTCTCGAACTCCTGGGCTCAAGTGATCCGCCTGCCTCAGCCTCCCAACCGTGCCCAGCCCTTTTTAAATCTTTTCATAGGATAAATCCACTTTGTGTGTATGTTCCACTGATGTAATCCAAAATAAAAAGACGATCCATATAAAAATGTTTATTGTACTATTCATCATGACCAAAGAAAGAAAGAAAAGGGAAAGAAAGAAATCCAAATGCCCTATAGCTGAGAAACAGTTAAATGAAAAATGGTATGTTAATAATAATGAAATTCTACCTGGTCATTATAAATTATAGGTGATGAAGTATAAAACAAACAAAAACACACAAACAAAAAAACATTGCTGGGCACGGTGGCTCACACCTGTAATCCCAAAACTTTGGGAGGCCAAGGCGGGTGGATCACTTGAAGTCAGGAGTTCAAGATCAGCCTGGCCAACATAGCAAAACCCTGTCTCTACTAAAAATGCAAAAATTAGCCAGGTATGGTAGCGCATGCCTGTAGTCCCAGCTACTTGAAAGGCTGAGGCATGAGAATTGCTTGAGCCCGGGAGGCAGTTACAGTGAGCTGAGACCACGCCACGGTACTCCAGCCTGGGTGACAGAGTGAGACTCTGTCTCAAAAAAAAGAAAGAAAGAAAGAAAGAAAACATAAAATGCACAGATACACTTACAACTGCAAAATATATATTTATAGGGATGGAAAAGAACTCAGAGTGAGAAAGCATTTTGGTTTTTATAGAAAATGAGATTTTCTTCTGTGAAAATATTTATATAAATACAAATTCTTAAGTTAAAATAAAAAACAAAGGTAGAAAAAAAAAAACAAAACAAAAAAACTACCTACCAAGACTTTGGGGAGGCTGTTTCTTAAGCATATATAACCAATCCATTTCAGTGTCACTATGGTGCTTATCAAGACCAACGCTATCAAAAACACAGTAATTATTCCTCCTACTTTGGCAGATTCTGCTGATTCTGTTGATGAAAAATTAAATGACTTTAATTCAAAAAAATGCAATAAACAATTGCAGATGGAAATAAATGTACATTGGTCTGGTGTTACAAGGTGATCAAGAAACTAAAGGTTTGAAAAAACCGTTTTATATGGAGAAATACCGAAGACTGGAGAATAATCTACGTGTGCATTTTTTAAACAATAACACAGACTTAGCTTTTAAAAGTAAAATTTCCTTCAGTTTCTGTTCTGTAACTGCACTGTCCAGTGGAGTAGCCACTGGCTGCAGTTGGCTGAATTTAAATGATCAAAATTAAATCGAATTAATGGCTCGGTCTCTCAGTCACGTGAGACACATCTCAAATGTTCGGTAGCCACACTAGTTAGCATGCGCTGCGGGCAGGAAGAAGTGGGGAAGGAAAGTTTGCTTGAAAACAACCAACGGGGTCATTCTGAGGCTGGACTTTAGCCATGCCAGGGCCCCAAATCAGGGCTCTGCAGAACCCGCCTTGCTCTATTAACAGTTCCCCTTTGTTTCTCATCAAGATTCCTTTTGGAAAATTTCAACTTTCTGACTGACTATAGTTATTTTGCTGAAGTGCGACCAGACTGAGAAATCAGTAGTTAAATCACTGAGGCGCTCTTGCACTTCCAGAAAGGTTTCCATTAGTATTAATCCTGGAACTATAGCCTCAGGCAAAAATAGATAGAGGGGAGAAAAAAGGAAATCAAAATGCATTATGTACTCTAAGTCTTCCAGAAGGTTAAGGAGTGAATAAAAAGACGTTCAGTAAACCCTTACACTGCTAGGTAGCACAGGGTTCAAGAATCCACTCTCACCCCAATCAAGAGAGTGTGAAGGATTGTCATATCAATGACAGTTCCAGAATCGGATCTAGCCACAGAGGCACACCTTTACGATACGAAATTCTGACATGTATAGAGTTTACATTCTTGAAAGGGGTAATGTAAACCAAAATGATTTCATTGGTGAAGGAATGGCGTAATACAGAGATTGTGACTCACGTACCCATCCAACTTGCATATAACAGCTACAAAGAACTCTATGTCATCTATCTAATAGGACATCCTCCAAACCAAATTGTGTAAATTGTAGTTAATATGCTAGAATAATATTCCTCAATTTGGGGTATTCTCATGAGTCTGAGAATTCTTCAGGAGAACTTAGAATTTTTGTTTGTTTTCAGCTTGCTGATAATCTAAAACATACAAATCTCACTTGTGGTCATGACAATTATACATGCATGCTATTTTAAAATACTCATATTTGAAAAGAGATGAATCTGGTCAATGTTCCTACTCAGAAAGGAGAAGCTGTGATTGGGTGTTACGGCTGCTAACTATCTTCTTCATGAAAGATGGGCCAGATCAACCCATCTTGGGAAGGAGAGACCAGGTCGCGTCTTAAAAATTTGGCCTTGGACAAACAAACCTGTCTGTCTCTGGATTCATTGTGGAGATATTTTAAACAAAAAATTAGAAACCTCACAAGCAGGGGGCTGAACTGAGCAACCGGGTTGGTAATATCTGATCACTATGATCTTTAATGGAAAAGAGAAAGAACTTTGTGAAAAGATTGGTGATGACTAATATCAGTCTCGTATAATTCCTCCCATACTTACCTCTCTGGAACAAGCAAGACTGCCCCTCCCCTGGGTGACTGCAGTAATCAGCCCAGGGGTCACCTGGTTCCTACTTCAAGGCATGTGGATGTTCCCTTTACATCCTAAGTCAGATCACGGGGAGCAACCTGCTCACAACCTTCTGAGGGCCCCCATCTCTTACAACGGCTTCTAAGTTCTACATCATTCAGGCTCCTCCATCCTCTCTGACCCGAACTATTACTATTCTTCCCTTGTTCAGTTCACTCCTGCCGTGCCATGCCAGGCATTTCCTGCCTCGGGGACCTGGCACTTGCTGAACCCCGCATATGGAACTCCCTCCCCGATATGTCTGCGTGACTCACTCCCTCACCCTGTGTTTCTTTCCCATTACCACTGTAACAAATGATGACAAAGTCCGTGTCATAAAACAATACAAATATATTAATAGTTCTGGAGGTCAGAAATCCAAAATGGGTTTCACTGGGATAAAAAATATCAAGGTGTTGGCAGGACTGCACTCCTTCTGGAGGCTCTAGGGGAAAACCCACTTCTTTGCCTTTCCCAGCTTCTAGAGGCCACTTGCACTCCTTTGCCCATGGCCCCCTCTTTCATCCTTACTCTCTGACCTCTGCTGCTGCTGTCAGAGCTCCTTCTCTGCCTCTGAGTCTCCTGCTTCTCTTTTTTTTGAGACAGAGTCTCGCTCTGTAGCCCAGGCTGGAGTACAATGGCACCATCTTGGCTCACTGCAACCTCCGCCTCGCGGGTTCAAGTGATTCTCCTGCCTCAGCCTCCCAAGTAGCTGGGACTACAGGCGCATGTCACCATGCCTCACTAATTTTTGTATTTTTAGTGGCGATGGGGTTTTACCACGTTGGCTAAGCTGAACTCGAACGCCTGACCTCAGGTGATTCACCTGGCTCGGCCTCCCAAAGTGCTAGGATTACAGGCATGAGCCACAGTGCCCGGCCAAGATCTTCAATTTCATCACACCCACAAGCCCCTTTGGCATAGAGGTTAGTCTGTTCACATATCTGCGATTAGGATGTAGACTAGACATCTTTGGGGGCCATTATTCTGCTTACCACATCTCCCTTGGGTCTTTACTCAAACGCTACCTTCTCAGGAACACCCTCTCAGGCCATCTGTGGTGGATGCTGTGGGTGGCCGGCTCATGTCCCCTTTTCCAGTCAGTGCACACCCACTACTGCTGCTGCACATGTCTGCTTATATATCTCAGAGCTGATCCTTCTCTAAGTGACAAGTGAGGCCAACTGGATTTCCTGGGTGGAGTGGGGACTTGGGGAACTTTCCTGTCTTGCAAGAGGACTGTAAAATGCACCAATCAGGAACATTTTTGTCTCACAAGAGGATTGTAAAATGCACCAATCAGCGCTCTGTATAACACACCAATCAGCGCTCTGTAAAATGCACCAATCAGCACTCTGTAAAATACACCAATCAGTGCTCTGTAAAATGCACCAATCGTCAGGATCCTAAAAGTAGCCAATCATGGGGAGGACTGAAAAAAGGGCACTCTGATAGGACAGAAACGAACATGGGAAAGGACAATAAGGGAATAAAAGCTGGCCACGTCCAGCCAGCAATGACAGCCCCCTCAGGTCCCTTTCCAAGCTGTGAAAGCTTTGTCCTTTTGCTCTTTACAATAAACCATGCTACTGCTCACTCTTTGGGTCTGTGCCATCTTTAAGAGCTATAACACTCACCACAAAGGTTCATGGCTCCATTCTTGAAGTCAGCAAGACCACAAACCCACTGGCAGGAACCAACTCTGGACACATAAGGAATTGCCCTTGCCCAAAAGGGGGCTGCCTCATCTGGAGGCCATGCCATAGATCACCACCAGTAACTGACTGGCTGCTGACTTGAAGACATGGTTCATGCTTCAGAGAACCCCTTGGGATCAGGCTTAGCTGAGAGCCACATGCTTGCTTAATTTCTCTCTCCCCATCCCTACCTGTTCCCTCTTTCCCCTTCTCCTAAGATGCCCCCACCAATAAATCACACTTAAAAATGAATTCACATCCCAGGTTCTGCTTCTAGCAAATGCAAATCAAGACACTGTCCTATTAAAAATAGCAACCCACTCTCCTCCACCTGACATCCCCCTTACCTCCTTTCCTGCATAATTTTTTTCCATGGTACTTACTTAACATACAATCTATTTTACATGTTGATCTTGTTCTGTCTCCTAATGCAATGTAAGCTCCACAAGGTGAGAAGTTTTTATCTGTTTTCTTCACTGCTAAATCCTCAATATCCAGAAAAGAATCTGGCTCATAAGAGGCCCCCAATAAACATTTGTCAAATGAATGAACAGAGCTTTTCCTTAGGGCCTAAATATTAATAAAAAAGCCACACAATTAATTTTAGGGCTTGACAAGGGGAAGGTGTTTATCCAGATCTCTGGGCTAAAAGCCCCCCATATCAGTCTGCCCTAGGATCGCAGTGCTTACTGCTGAGCCTATGTTAATGCTGGTCTCAGGCTATCCTTCCAAGACCCCTCACCAGCCGAACCTGTCTGGTGTCTGAGTTTGGCTAGTTGAGAGTAGGTCAGATGGCAAGCAGAGAGTGGCAGAGGTCACGTTACCTGAACCTATTTGCTTCCTGAGTTTCAAACAAGAATTTGACATCAGGTACAGTATTTGGATAATTAGAGAGTGTGGCACTTGACCTGTCTTGGGTAATAATCCAAGAATGAGGGCTGACTTGATGTGCAGCATGACGTGTTCACACCAAGTAAAAATGGAATAACCCGAGAGGATGTTGTTATGTTTCACCTCGGTAGGTGAAATGGAAAAGAGTCAGGGGAGAAAGTGAGTCATCACAGAGTTCATCAGCCTTCAAGGAGCTTGTGCCTTCTCAGTCAGCAACACGGGAACTGGGAACTGGGAACTGAGTTTCAATGGTAGACACCATCTGTCTACCAGGTCACTAATTTCAGTTTTTATTGTCTATAGGAGTTTTGTTTTTATGTAAGATCAATGATATAATAAAACATACATATATATCCAGTCTTTGTCCCTAGCTCCTGGAGCAGAGCTTCAAAAATCTGTGGAATTTCCTGAACGATAGGAGTGTCTTTTGTCCACAAGCCCCTTTTAGGGGCCATATATGAGTTTATGCTTGTGAGGCGACGGGGCAGGGTGTGGACAGCTTCAGGATGAGGGCTGGTCCCTAGGAAAACTAACCACATATGATCAGACGGTTGGAACTGCCAGCTCCCCCATTTGACCTCTATCCAAGGAGGGGAGTGGGCTGGAGACTGAGATCAATCCTGCAGCCAGTAATTTAATCAATCACACCTACATAATGAAACCCAATACAAACTGTGAACACCAAGGGTTGGGGAGCCCCCAAATTCATGAACATATGGATGCACAGAGAGGGTGGTACACCCTGCTTCCCCAGGGACAGAAGCTCCTGCACTTGGGATCCTTCCAGACCTTGTCCTGTGCACCTCTTCAATGGCTGTCCCTCAATTCCTTTATAATAAAGTGGTAATCATAACACTTTCCCGAGTTCTCTGAGTCATTTTAGCGAAGTATCAAACCTAAAGGGAGGTCATGGGAACTCCCGAATTTGTAGCCAGGTCAGATGAAAGTGCAGGTAACCTTGTCACCCAGGACTTGTGGCTGGCGTCTGAAGTGGGGGCAGGCAGCCTTTCACCTGTGGGGTCTGTGCTAACCTCGGGTAGTGTCAGAAATGAACTGAATCATTGGACAACTAGTTAGTGTCAGATAGCTGGTGTTAGAACAAAGATATGCACATTTATTTTCCATTTATATTTCTGAAAGAGCTATAGTCAGATACAATCTATATGTAGTTTTAGGTTTGCCTGTATTTTGTTGACATAAAAATAACTTAAGCTAAAGGTGTCTGAGATGTTCTTTCCTTTAGAACCAGTCTATGCATCATCTGGTCTTGAGGAACACTAGAGAATCAAATCATACTGCCCTGTAGTGAAGCCAACACACAGCACTGTTATGTGCTAGGCAACGTTCCGTAGCTCACTTCATTCACAAATGACCATATCACTTTGTCAATGAAAAGAGCCAAAGTCAGTAACATACTTGAAGAGATTAAGTCTGAGCCAAATACAAGTGACCAATGGCCCATGACACAGCCCCAGGAGATCCCGAGAACCCTTGGTCAGGGTGCAGCTTGGTTTTATACATTTTAGGGAGACATAAGGCATCAGTCAATGCATGTAAGACGTACACTGGTTCAATCTGGAAAGGTGGGACAACTCGAAGTGGGGGCTTCCAGGTCATAGATAGATTCAAAGATTTCCTGATTAAAGACTTGGAATTAATAAAAGGAAGCATCTGGATTAAGACAAAGGGTTGTGGAGGCCACGGTTCCTATTATGCAGATGAAGCCTCTGGTAGCAGGCTTCAGAGAGAATAGATTGTAAATGTTTCTTACCGGACTTAAAAAAGTGCCAGACTCTTAGTGAATTGTCTCTTGGATCAGGAAGAAGACCTGGACTGGGAAGGGGGTTCTTTATAGAAAGCAGATTTTCCCTGCAAGAGACAGCTTTGCAGGGCCATTTTACATATGTCAAATAAATGTATTTTGGGGTAAAATACTTTGATTTCTTTTAGGGCCTGCTACCCATCATGTTGGTATTAGTGCTACAAAGCATCTTTTTGTCTTAAGGTTTCTGTTTTAACATTAGTGCTGGCCAGCTGTGCCTGAATTCCAAAGGTAGGAAGGTACAGTGAGGCATGTCTGGACCACTCATTCCCATCATGACCTGAACTGGTGTTTCATTTACTTTACTTTATTTGGCCCTTGTCCAAGAGGAGGGGTCCATTCAGTTGGTTGGAGGGCTTAGAATTTTATTTTGGTTTACAACTGAAGTAATTTCTTTATAGATCCTACCTTATTTTTATTCTCATAAATCAGAACATGAAAGATACTTCCATTGGTGTCAGAGGCATTTGAGCCAGAGCAACTCCATCTTGAATAGAAGCTGGGTAAAATGAGGCTGGGACCCATTGGGCTGCATTCCCAGACAGTTAAGGCATTGTAACTTACAGGATGAGATAGGAGGTGGGCACAAGATACAGGTCGTAAAGACCTTGCTGATAAAACAGACTGCAGTAAAGCTGGCCAGAACCCACCAAAACCAAGATGGTCGTCCTCACTGCTACACTCTCACCAGCACCATGAGTTTACAAATGCCACGGCAATGTCAGGAAGTTCCCCTACGTGGTCTAAAAGGGAGAGACATGAATAATCTACCCCTTGTTTAGCATATCATCAAGAAATAATCATAAACATGGGCAACCAGCAGCCCTTGGGGCTGCTCTGTCTACGGAGTAGCCATTCTTTATTCCTTTACTTTCCTAATAAACTTGCTTTCACTTTATGGACTCGCCCTGAATTCTTTCTTGTGCAAGATCCAAGAACCCTCTCTTGGGGTCTGGATTGGGATCCCTTTCCCCTAACACTGGGGTTGGGACATTTAGAAGGGCTTCTTTGAGGAAGACTTGGATAGCTTCTCACTTTTGGTAAAATAGGTGGAGACTTGGCTACTTCCTGAGAAAACAATCAGCAGGGAGTTCCGAGATTTGATTTTTCTCACTCCCAAGGGGAGGAAGGTTTGGGATCACACTGTTTACTGTTCTGATGTCTGTGTAACAGAAAGGTGTTCAGCCTTCATTAGTGATTTTCTCGCACACCCTGGCAAGGGTCCCTTTCATCTATGAGCTACAGCTGATGCCAGATCACCTCTATGAACTGCACCCAATCTCACTGCTTCCACCTTTTCACCCCTTAATGCCACTGTATGCCACTGTCTCAAGCAGCTCCACCTCTTCTGGCATTTGGCTTCAGCAACGGCCACACTAAGGGCACACAGCGCTGAATTTAATCCTGACTCCCTGAAATAAAAGCATTTCCATTTCAAGACTTCTGATCTCATCGAGTAGTATCTGATTGTCTTTTGGTATGACAACATAAAAGTGACTCTACCAGATTGTACACACGAATCAACAGAAAACATCTCTGGGAGGTGCCATTATTGGAAGAAAGACCTTTAGTGCTCCACGAATTTCCGATTCTTTTCTTTAAATAGGCTTGCCCTCAGAGTAAAAGCATGAATACTCAAAACATGAATTTAAAAAAATGAACATACCTGATTCCTGGCCAGGTTGAAGGAGGGTGCATTTTAAGGGAGACTTGATGACTGCCTGCTCATCGTTATGCTCGAAATAAACAGATACACAGTAGTTTGTGTTTGGAATTAACTTGTCAATGATATAGGTGAAATTTCCACTCATGTTTCCTTTTACTGTGGGTTTATGCTGTAAAAATAAGCAAAAAATCAGTAAGACTCTGAGAATTTCATTTAGAGGCAGGCCTTAAGAATCTCTTTTGGGATTTGTCTTTAAATCTCAAACAGGGTTAGATTTATCACAGGCTTGGTAAGAAAAAGGATTTATAAGTCACCTGGAGTACGTAAGCTATCAGAAAACTACACCTACATGCACTTATATACACCCGCACACACACATATTTTACACCCATGAAATCTAGTCTAGCAACTTCATTTTACATATGAGATAAAAGTCTTCAAAGAGGAATAAAAGTCTCTGTGACATCATTTTTACATGATTATCTTCTCTCATGGACAGCGTGTGTCTACTTTACACTTGAGAAAGTGCCTTCATAACATTAACTCTTTTGACTTTCAAAACAGTCTGCAAAATAGGCATTCTCTCCATTCAACGGATGAGAAAACTGTAGCTCAGTGTGGCTAAGTAACTTCTCCAAGGTCACAGAGCTTGTCTGTGACAAAACTGACGTCTAGTTTCTCATCTTCTCCCTTTATCGATAGATAGATAGATAGATAGATAGATAGATAGATAGATAGATAGATAGGTAGATAGATAGAGATAGATAGATGGGGGTCTCACTCTGTTGCCCAGGCTGGAGTGCAGTGGCACGATCTTGGCTCACTGCAACCTCCAACTCCTGGGTTCAAGAGATTCTCTTGCCTCAGCCTCCTGAGTAGCTGGGATTACAGGCGCCTGCCTGGCTAATTTTTTTTTTTTTTTTTTTTGAGACACAGTCTCGCTCTGTCTGGAGTGCAGTGGCTGGATCTCAGCTCACTGCAAGCTCCACCTCCCAGGTTTATGCCATTCTCCTGCCTCAGCCTCTGGAGTAGCTGGGACGACAGGTGCCCGCCACCACGCCCGGCTAGTTTTTTGTATTTTTTAGTAGAGATGGGGTTTCACCACGTTGGTCACGCTGGTCTTGAACTCCTTACCTCAAGCGATCTGCCTGCCTTGGCCTCCCAAAATGCTGGGATTACAGGCGTGAGCCACCGCGCCCAGCCATCCCCCTTTAAACACCTGGCCTCTTCTTTCCTGTAGTTGCGTTCCACTTCAGAATTTAAAAGATGATATAAAGGCTCTTTCATGAATAATAACTTTTGTATCATGTTTTACAGTTTTTTAAATACATTCTTACTAGCAGTTTAATAAATGAGGATTCCTAGCAGCTCACATACAGCCTTCAGTAATAATGTTTTTCTGTAAATTTCTGTTTGGGAGGAGGAGTTAGTAAACAAACTTACGACCCAACAAACTAAAAGCTTCCCCTCCAGTGACCACCACACAGCCTCCTTCCCTGTTTGGAAAAACTCCTTAGAAAAATGAGTTCTCTTCACTGTCTCCAATTTTTCTCCTCCTGCTTTTTCTTGAATCTACTCCAACCAGCTCTTTGACCTTGACTCTATTAAAACTACTTTTATCAAGGACACAATGTTGCTAAATCCAATAGTCAGTCCTCTTCCATTGTCCCATTTGCAGCACTGGACTCAGTAAACCACTTTCTCCTTCTGGAACGTTCTTCTCTCAGCTACCGGGACACCACTCTCACCTGCTTCTCTCCATGCCGGTTGCTCTTTCTCAGTCGATTTTGCTGTTTCTTCCTCATGTGCCAGATCTCCAAATTTTGGAATGTTCCCGGGGTTATGTCCTTGGACGCCTTCTCTTCTGAGTGTCTATTCCAGGTGATCTCATCTGGTCTCAGGGCATTCAACATGCACCAAGAAGCCAGTGGCTCCCAGGCTCTCTCTCTAGCTGGGGGTTCTCCCCTGGACTCCAGACTGGCACATCCAGCTCCTTCCCCACGTCTCCTCCTAGATCCCTTACGGGCACCTGGAATTTAACATGTCCCAAACCCTCTAACCCTATCTAACCCTCACCTGCTTCATTCATCATCTTCCATAGTTAATGGGGAAGTTCGTCTTGCTCTGTGTGCAAAATATATGCAGAATTATAAGCTGGGCATGGTGGCTCACACCTGTAATCCCAACACTTTGGGAGGCTCAGGTGGGTGGACTGCCTGAGGTCAGGAGTTAGAGACTAGCCTGGCCAACACAGTGAAACCCTGTCTCTACTAAAAATACAAAAAATTAGCTGGGTGTGGTGGTGGGTGCCTGTAATCCCAGCTACTAGGGAGGCTGAGGCAGGAGAATTGCTTGAACCTGGGAGGCGGAGGTTACAGTGAGCCGAGATCATGCCATTGCAGTCCAGCCTGGGCAACATGAGTGAAACTCCGTCTCAAAAACAAACAAACAAACAAGCAAACAAAACTCCAAAATATATGCAGAATTTGATGGCTTCTCACTACTCAATACCCCTCTACTATCAAGGTCCAAGCCACCACCATCTGTTGCTTGGATTATACTGTAGCTTTTTTTTCTTGATTTAATTTAAAGGCTAATTTTTTTTATGAAGAAGGTGTCTATTAACTACAGTTTTTCCTCTTACAGAGTAGTCAATATCCTAATAAGCATCAGTTTCTTATTTTAGGAATCATAATCTAAAACATAGAGTTAGTTGCTTATGGGGTGAACACAAATGAGACATGATTGAAACAGGAGATTTAATGACACTTCACATAGTCCTTAGGCCACATAAACTTATTTTCCCCCCATTTTTGCTCCTTTTCCTAGACTATTGATTATAATCCATGTTGATATTAAAAGAAATATGATAATAATCATATAATTTGTTACTGCCTATTAAGTGACTGCCACCCTGATTGTGTCTTAACTGGTCTCCTAACTCCCATCTTTGCCCCTATGGTCTATTTTTAACAGCCCAGCCAGGATGCCCTGTTAAGCCTTGGGTTCCAGGGGCTTCCATCACACTCAGAAGACCCAGACCCACAAACTCCTACCAGGTCCAGCCACATTTACCCTCTGACCTCACCTCCTCCTCACCTCCTGCTTGGTTACTCCAGTTCAGCCACCTCTCCCTGCTGTTGCTGAAACACACCGGGCCCACTCCAGCCTCAGAACCTTTGAACTTCCTGTGCCCTCTGCCTGAAATGCATCTACCCTGATTATCTCTCAGGCTGGTCTTACTTGCAAGGGTTTTCTACTTGACAAAGAGCTCTACAGACATAAGCTGCTGCTACACCAGTGAGAGCAATTTGTCCATTTCCACTTATTCCAGCATTCGGAGGGACAGGGACAACAAAAATTGAAGATCCAGGTCTGTCTGATACCAGATTACCCTAAGGTTACTGACAGTCAGGTCTTTCGCAGAAATTATGAGAGGACAGAACTGCCAGAAGAGCCACTTCCTTACTGTGTGTGACGGCCAGACAGGCAGCGACAGATGCTTTTCACAGGTGGCTCAGCTAAACCCTCCTTTTCAAAGAAATCTCTCCAGGGCTCACTGAAATTTGGCTGTACTCTGCATCTCCCTCCCACACCCTCTCTCCTGTGTGTTCCTTTATGTTGTACATGTGGCTTATTCTTTTTTTTTTTTGAGACGGAGTCTTGCTCTGTTGCCCAGGCTGGAACGCAATGGTGCAATCTCGGCTCACTGCAACCTCTGCCTCCCAGGTTCAAGCGATTATCCTGCCTCAGACTCTGGAGTAGCTGGGATTACAGGTGTTTGCCACCAGACCCGGCTAATGTTTGTATTTTTAGTATAGATTGGGTGTCACCATATTGGCCAGGCTGGTCTCAAACTCCTGACCTTAGGTGATCTGCCCACCTCGGCCTCCCAAAGTGCTGGGATTACAGGCGTGAGCCACCACGCCCAGCTGTGGTTTATTCTTTTAAAGAAGACTGTGCTGCAGGTTTAGATCAATATAGTGAATGAACTATAGTGACTTCCTCCCTAAGGTCAGACCACACAGAAGCCTGACCTTTCAGCTTTAATTGTTCAACTGCAAATTTCCTTTCAAAACAGACAGTCAAGTGCATTGACTACCCACTCAGAACTGTTTTGATCCTAACAGGAGAAGCCACTTACCTTCTTAACAATCCCCTCTGACTGTTCTTCAATGACAAGTGACAAATCAAACTGTAATTCTTCCTCAACAATAGATGGAAATTTCACGATCACATTAATGTGGTTGGTAAAACCAACAATCTCAAACTCTGGCGGTTCAAAAGACACTGTTCAGAAAACAAAAACAGACAGGAATATGTGACTGAGACCATACGTGGCCCACAAAGCCTAAAGTGGTTCTTCTCTGGCCCTGTATAGAAAATCTGCCAAGACCTGATTTACATCATAATTTTTCATTGCTAATGCTGTTCCACTAAGTAACTGTGTCACGATTTAACTGATTCACTGTTTTGAACATTTAAATTGTCTCTGATTTTTATTAAAGACTTAATGGATCATGGGATATTCTTGGAACTAAATTTTTGCATTTGTCCTTCATAATTTCTTTCTTTCTCTCTCTCTCTCTCTCTCTCTCTTTTTTTCTTTCTTTCTTTTTTAATGTAGAGATAGGGTTTCGCCATGTTGCTCGGGCTGGTCTTGAACTCCTGCGCTCAAGTGATCCACTGCTCTCGGCCTCCCAAAGTGCTGGGATTACAGGTGTGAGCCACTGTGCCCGGCCTTAATAATTTCTTTGGGACAAGTTACTAAAGAATTCTGGATTAGAGTAAGCACATGTTAAGGTTTTTAATACATGCTGTCAATTACTTCAGATGGACCGTGCCAAAGCAAGCTCTTTGTATTCCCTCTAAGCCTGGATATTTATGTATTTTTCATATTTATCATTTGAGTCATGAAACATATCTCACTGTTACTTTAATATGCATTCTCCAAGCCTGGATATTTACGTATTTTTCATATTTATCATTTGAGTCATGAAACATATCTCATTGTTACTTTAATATGCATTCTTTAACAACCCAAATACCATGAACTACAAATTCTGATTTTCTTTCTTTTCTGTGTGTACACACAGATGTCTGTTTATACACATACAACAACATGCACACAAATCTGGCAAATGTCATATCTGAATTGTTTGCCACAGTGGCAACAAAGTAGTAGTCATCCTTACTACTTTGCTAAGCATGTATGAGCACGTGCACACCCGCCTAGCCTACAACAGGAAGCTGGGACCAAATGGTTCTCTTGGAAACTCGTTGTAAAGTGGGAAATTGAAAAAGTAACAGAGCTGGAGCTGTTAACACAGTGCCTTAGGGAGCTGACTTGAGTCATAGGGAAAGAAAGAAGCGGTAGACCTGTTCTTCAGTTCTAGTCTTCTCCTCTGAGCTTTGGGTCCTAGGTGCATGCACACTTGGGTGTTCACACACAAAAGAACTATTGGGTTATAATGTGGGGGTGGAGTTGCTGTATCAAGAAAACACTGGGGTCAGGTGTGGTGGCTCATGCTTGTAATCTCAGCACCTTGGGAGACTGAGGAAGGCGGATCACTTGAGGTCAGGAGTTCGAGACCAGCCTGGCCAACATGGTGGAACATTTCTACTAAAAGTACAAAAAATGAGCCAGGCGTGATGGTGTGTGCTTGTAATCCCAGCTACTCTGGAGGCTGAGGTGGGAGAATCGCTTGAACCCGGAAGGTGGAGGTTGCAGTGAGCTGAGATCGCACCATTGCACTCTAGCCTAGGTGACAGAGTGAGACTCCATCTCAAAAAAACAAAAAAAGAAAGACAGAAGGAGAGAAAGAGAGAGAGAGAGAGAGAAAGAAAGAAAGAAAGGAAGGAAGGAAGGAAGGAAGGAAGGAAGGAAGGAAGGAAGGAAGGAAGGGAAAGAAAGAAAGAAAGAAAAAGAGAAAGAAAGAAAGAAAGAAAAGAAAGAAAGAAAGAAAAAGAGAAAGAAAGAAAGAAAGAAAAAAGAAAGAAAGAAAGAAAGAAAGAAAGAAAGAAAGAAAGAAAGAAAGAAAGAAAGAAAGAAAGAAAGAAAAAGAAAAAAAGAAGGAAAGGGAAAAGAAAAGAAGGAAAGAAAGAAAATACTGGGCCAAAGAGGTGGGAGAGCTAGATCCAGCCCACCTGAACCTGGCTCCACACTTCCTGTCCGGCTATGAAACCGAAAAACAGCAGCTCCTACTGCCTTATACAGGCACTGGGCGAATTTGCAAAGCACAAGTTATCATTCCACTTTTCAGATTAAAAAAACCAAGGCTCAGAGAGGCAAAGCAGTCCACGGATACAGAGCTAGGAAGTGGCAGGGCCAAGAGGTGAGCCCAGCCCCAGGTCTAAAACACCTTTGCAGACCTCCTATTTCACAGAATAGCAAATGATAATGATCTTGATGATGGGGACAAAGTGGAGAAACAGAGATAAACTCACTGTCTATGTCCAGCCAGAAATTGCGTGAGCAATTGAACAAGGTTGTGTTCCCGCTGAATCCTTCTAGGAGGGTGACATAGGCCTCGTGTGTGCTTCTCCACTCATCTGTGAGGTCACAAAATGATCTTGTGGTATTTGCACAGTTCTTAACTATCTTCCAATCTTCTGGTTTACTTTGGAAAGAAAAAAATGGAAAAAGGAAAGTGTGAACATTGACGTAATGAGAGTCTATTTTCGGGTGCCTTACTTCATTGTTTCCTTTAGGGCTCTGCTCAAATATCACTGTACTAAGTGATCTTCCCAACCATCTTATTGAAAATGGAACATCTTATACCCTCCCCACCCCTGCACTTTCAATCCCTCTCTCTCTTCTTGATCGTAGCATTTACCCACACCTGTCACACTATACCTTTGTTTACTCATGTCTCCATTTACATAATATCTGCTCCAGGAGGGCAAGGACTTTGGTTCACAGTTGGACCCCCTGACAGGTAACAGGTGCTCAGTAAAATTTGCCGGATGAGTAAATGAATGAATGAAACTTGGGCCCTCATGGTGGAGGCCTCAGATCTCCCTCCCTCTATGGGACAATCATGAATGCCTTCCCTGAGACCCCCTCCCTCTCTGGCTAAGACTAGATGATCCAGTCCTAAGTCAGACCTGGTCTATTTCAGGGACAGCGCAGACATCTCATCTACCAAGCTTCAGTTAGTTGGATGATACATGTGACCACTCAATGCAGAGAAAAACTTTTAAGACTTTAGCAGGCACCAAAGAGAAACTCACAGGAGGTCTTCCACTGGCTTAGTCAGTAAGCAGGAGCGGCAGCAGCTCTAGGCCAAATAAATAACCAACAAAAGGACACTCCAAGGGGTTGCTAGATCAAAGCAATGACTTCTAAGATTGGTAGGCGTGGGAAGAAGAAAGACAAACAGGACTCCATCCATTATGTCATGAATCCTTGCAGCAACCTCTCAGCAGAGGCATTCGCTTAGGGGCTGAACTCTGTGCCAAGTGTCAAGCTGGTTAGTGACCAAACCAGACTTTGCACCCAGGCCTGTCCCAGACTAGGCCAGGCAGTTTCTGGTGTCCCAACAGAGTAAAGAAAAGTGAACATAAACCATCAACCTGGTCAAAAGACCTTTGGATTCCTGTCCTCAGATAACGGGACTGTTAAACATTCAGACTGACTGAAATAGAGAACTCATTGCCTAACCCATACACAAGAATTATTTTGTATGTGAGGTTCTGAGCTGTAGAAATTGAATTTGATGACACGTACAAGCTTTGTCAAAATAAATGTGGATTATTAAAGTATTCAATTTAATTAAAAATGGATGTGTGATGGTGTTTTGCCTTTGGCCTTTTAAGGCTCTGAATAAGAAACGCAGAGAGAAGGAGAGGTAGACAGGAAAAGGGAGAGGGAGAGGCAGAGAGAGAGAAAAGATCATCTCTTCTTCCACTCCCCATATAACAGAACAATAATATGTTTACCAAGAGAAAATGAAATATCAAACCAACCTCATGATTGTATACAGCAACTTATAGTGAGTTGCCACAATGGAGTGGTTTTTTAATTCCCATGATAAGATGGACCGGAAATTTTGCAATGATATCTTAAAAGTGCAAGATTCACTTGTGTAATCTGAAGAGAAGAAGGAAAAAAAGGCATTGAAATTTGGAACCCACAGTTGTATTCTGGTCACTGTTCAGTCATTTCTTGGGATCTAGAACCCACACCTCTGGCAGATAACACCTCCAGAGAGCCCTGGGTCTTGAAAACAGGAAGTCTACAGGACATGGGAAATGAACTAATAGGTTAATTCACGAACAACATATTGTCAGGGCAGGCAAGTGTAGGAAACAGGAACTGTGCACTGTGTAAGCACAGTCTGGACAGAAGGGCTTCTCCAATGCCCTTGGACTGTCCCTCCATGGTTCACTGGACCAAAATAACCCAGGCCATCCCAGCCCACATGGTGCACTTCCTTTCATTCTCCCCAACCCATTCTCTCTCCCCAACCCATTCTCCCTCCCCAAGCCGTTCTCTCAACTCAGCTCCCAGCTCCTCCATGAAGTCCTCCTTAAGTAGCTCAGCCCACTGCAAATTTTCATTCCTCTGGATTCCCCAGCATACTTATTCCCTGGATCACAGAGAGCAGGGGAGTATAACATGAGCCCAGACTGGCCCTTTGTAAGCATTTAAGCCCCGTAACAATGCTGAAGTAGGCACTAAGAAGAGACTCATTTTACAGACTGTGACACTGAGTTGAATTATACAATGTCATGCAGGTGGGAAGTGGCAGTGATAAATAAAACATTAAAGCCACACTTGCCAAATTCTGCCTTATATGGTTAAATTGTTAAAGATCATCTAAGTTTCCTGTGGTTAGGACCCAGGCCTTTGTTTCTTGATTGCCAACTCTTCAACTCCAACCAACGCTTAGCGCAAGGTTGGACACGTATTTAATGCTTAATGAAGTTTTGTGGACAGATTTATATATGTAGCAAGAAGTTTAGTTAAAAAAGATTATTGTCCTTTGTCTGGAACCACCAGGGTGGAAGAATGTAAATTAAAGAGCAAGTATTTCTGGGCCATCTTTTGTTTGGCACAGTCTGTGTCTCCTCGTTCTTCTATTAGTGAGATTATTAAGAGTTTGAATATTCTTTAAAGAAGTTTAAAAATGATCTCTAGTGTTCATTTCTTAGACTAGTTTTGTATCTCTCAAAAAACCAGAGTTAGCTCATTTTAGCTCCTTTTACAGAGAAAGAATCCCAATAAAATTGGTAACAGATGTACAATCAGAAATCAAATATCCCACATTTTATACCTCTGAAAGGCTGCCCCAACACTTTCACTCTTATACAAAATTTAGTGAAGCCAAAAAACATCTCTTACCAGGCAAATCATGTGAAATACCAAACACGAGGCTGATACACACTAGAAGGAAGAAAACACATTAGAGAGGCAACAGTTTTATCTGGGCTCAACTTGCAACGATTACTCTAAGTCTGGAATTCTTTAACACACATTTATTGGTATCAGATTGAGACTTTTCTTGTACTAAAAAAATGCCCACATAGATGGTTTTTATTCTACATTGGTGCCAGCAGCACATGGTGCAAGGACTGTGACCTGAGCTGAGATAAGATCCATTTGGGAGCTGACGCTAACAACAGTATGTACGGTCCCTGTTCTGCCCTGCTTTTTCCACTTAAAAATATATTTGGGGCCAGGTGCCGTGGCTCATGCCTGTAATCCCAGCACTTTGGGAGGCCAAGGTGAGTGGATCACACAAGGTTAGGATTCGAGACCAGCCTGGCCAACACGGCAAAACCCTGTCTCTACTAAAAACACAAAAAATTAGCTGGGTGTGGGGGTGCACACCTATAGTCCCAACTACTTGGGAGGCTAAGGCAGGAGAATTGCTTGAACCCAGGAGGCGGAGGCTGCAGTGAGCTGAGATCGCTCACTGCATTCCAGCCTCGGTGACAGAGAGAGACCCTGTCTCCAGAAAAAAAGAAAAAAAGGCTGGACGCAGTGGCTCACGCCTGGTAACCCCAGCATTGTGGGAGGCCAAGGCGGGTGGATCACTTGAAGTCAGGAGTTTGAGACCAGCATGGCCAACATGGTGAAACCTTGTCTCTACTAAAAATACAAAAATTAGCTGGGCATGGTGGTGGGTGCCTGTAATCCCAGCTACGTGGTAGGCCCAGGCAGGAGAATTGCTTGAACTCAGGAGGTGGAGGCTGCAGTGAGCTGAGATCACGCCCTGTACTCCAGTCTGGGTAACAGAGTGAAACTATGTCTCAAAACACACACACACACACACACACACACACACACACGAACTTTTTTTTTTTTTTGAGACAGAGTCTCGCTCTGTCGTCCAGACTGGAGTGCAGTGGCACCATCTCGGCTCACCATGTTAGCCAGACTGGAGTGCAGTGGTGCCATCTCAGCTCACCATGTTAGCTAGACTGGAGTGCAGTGGCGCCATCTCGGCTCACCATGTTAGCCAGGATGGTCTTGATCTCCTGACCTCGTGATCCACCTGCCTCGGCGTCCCAAAGTGCAGGGATTACAGGTGTAAGCCACCGCACCCGGCCACACACGAGATCTTTAACACCAAAATAATTTCCTTGTTTTTGTTTAAGTACTTGGGCTGGCTGAGGGCGTGTCCTCAGAAGCAATTGTCCATCCTAGAAACATTCTCAGAATATGAATAAGCATGCTACTAATTAATCAACTTTAGAGTTAAAAGACATTTACCAAAGATTGGGGAGGAAGAAAGGGTGTTAGGAGAAATTACTCTTCAAATTATAGGCGAGCATAGTCCCAATTATTATTGCCTTAAGTCACTCATTTGTTTTCTGAAAATTAACAACAGGACAGGAAATTACACTGAATCTAAACCACTAGTGTAGGTTTCCTATCTGCTTTCCACTTAACTCCTGACGCTAGGCAGGCTGGAACTGGGTCCTCTAGTCAGGGAAATTAGTTTGCTACTTCCTGCCAGGGCTCTCCATGAGGATGGCATCACAGTTTGCTTCTATAAGAGCTAAGATAAAAAGCAGCACTCACCCATGAGAAACAAATTAAGCGGTCTGACGATGAAGGCATTCTGGCTCAAAAGCATCTTTGCTATTTTTAGAGTCTTCTCTTGACTTTTACATCTGAAATCAACATTAGGTGATCAAAATTCTGAAGTGTCTAATTAAATTGCAAATATAAAAATGGGAGCAAAAACAAGACAAGGAGAGACCTGTAAGGAATAGTAAAATTCCTAGCTCCGGGAACTGGATCATTTACCCCATTTATTCAAGTGAGCCTCGTCTCAACTTCTGGGCCCAATCCCCCACCTAGTCAGGGAGGAATTTTAAATTTAACTTTTGAACAGGCAACAGTCATTGGGTTCAACAATTTTAAGCATACAAAGAAAAAAAAAATAGTGAAAAGTCTTACTCCCTTTAGAAAACGACTTTTTTTTCTTTTGTGAATCCTTCAGAGTGTCTCCACACATAAGCAAAAACAAACGCATATTTCTAATTTCCCCATCTTTTAGACAAGAGATAGCATGTATAGTCCCTGTTCCACCCTGCTTTTTTCACTTAAAAATATATTTGGAAGATCTTTCTATCCTTGTTTTTTTAAATAGCTGGATAGAGTTCTACTCTATAGACACACCATTATTTATATAATTAGTACCCCTACTATAGACATTTGAATTATTTCCAGTCTCTTCTGCAAGGAAATCTCTTTCATTTTGTACATGTGCCAGTTTAGTGTGGGAAAATTTCCAGAAGTAGAACTGTTAGACAAATGACGTATCAGTTAGGGTTCTGGCAGGAAACACCTCATTCAAATTAGGATAGACACTTTAAAAAAATACATTTAAAGGGTACAAGTGCAGTTTTGTTAGATAGATATATTGCATAGTGGTGAAATTTGGGCTTTTAGTATACCCATCACCTGAATAGTATACATTATACCCATTAAGTAATTTCTCATTCCTTAACTCCCTACACGCCAATCCACCCTTCTCAGGCAGTAATGACTATTATTCCACATTGTATGTCAATGTGTGCACATTATTTATTAACAGCTCCCGCTTATAAGAACAGGTGGTATTGACTGTTTCTGAGTTGTTTCTCTTAAGATAATGGCCTTCAGTTCCATCCATGTTGCTGCAAAAAACATAATTTCATTCTTTTTTATGGCTGAATATACTGTGTGTGTATATATATATGTAATTTTTTTTTTTTTTTTTTGAGACGGGGTCTTGCTGTGTTGCCTAGCCTGGAGTGCAGTGGTGGCTCACTGCAGCCTCAACCTCCCAGGCTCAAGCAATCCTCCCACCTGTCCCCCTACGTAACTGGGACTACAGGCATGTGTCACCACACACCGGCTAATTAAAAAAAAAAATTTTTTTTTAGAGACGGGGTCTCACTATATTGCCCAGGCTGATCTCAAACTCCTGGATTCTTGCCTTGGCCTCCCAAAGTGCTGGGATTACAGATGTGAGCACCACACCTAGCCACATTTTCTTTATGCAATCATTTGTTGATGAACACTTAGGTTGATTCCGTATCTTTGCAACTGTGAACAGTGCTATGTTCTGAGAAATTCATTGTTAGGCTATTTCATTGTGTGAATATCATAGAGTATACTTAGACAAACCTAGATAGCGTAGCCAACTACACATCTAGGTTATATGGTATAGCCTATTGTTCCTAGGCTATAAATCTGTCCAGCGTGGTACTGTGCTGAATACTGCAGGCAGTTGCAACACAGTGGCATTTGTGTATCTGAACATATTTAGACACAAAAAAGGTACAGTAGAAATATGGTATAATCTTATGGGGCCACTGTCATATAAAGAGTCCATCTTTGCCCAAGACATCATTAGGGGGTGCAGGACTGTATTTACAAATGTGTGAGCAGGCTGTAGGCAAACCAGAAGGGAGAGTATAGAACCTGCAGCTCACAACATTGAGGCCTGTGACCACTCTGGGGCCCAGAAGGCAGAGTCCAGAATCTGTAGTTCACAACATTAAGGGCTGTAGCTCCCAACATTGAGGGATGTGACCACTCTGGACTTGCAGAAGGGAGAGTCGAGAACCTGTAGCTCACAACATTGAGGGCTATGACCACTCTGGGCCTGCAGAAGGGAGGGTATAGAACCTGCAGCTCACAACATTGAGGGCTGTGACCACTCTGGACCTGCAGAAGGGAGAATATAGAACCTGCAGCTCACAACATTGAGGGCTGATGACCACTCTGGGCCTGCAGAAGGGAAAGTTGAGAACCTGTAGCTCACAACATTGAGGGCTGTGACCACTCTGCGCCCTAGGAGGGAGAGTAGAGAACCTGTAGCTCACAACATTGAGGGCTGTGACCACTCTGGGCCCCAGGAGGGAGAGTACAGAACCTGCAGCTCACAACATTGAGGGCTATAACCATTCTGGGCCTGCAGAAGGGAGGGTATAGAACCTGTAGCTCACAACATTGAGGGCTGTGACCACTCTGGGCCTGCAGAAGGGAGAGTTGAGAATCTGTAGCTCACAACATTGATGGCTATAAATCACTCTGGGCAGGAAGGGGAAGAGAAAGAGCCAACACTGCAGTTTGTAAGGAGAAACTCCTGTATGAGCAGCTATGACATGAGACCACTAGACACAGCCAGACCAAGAGGGCAGTGCAGGCAGGAGGCTGAGGGATAAATATCCCTCACTGTGTCCCTCACTTCTCTCATTTGGGGCTCCCCATCGGCTGAACACAACCAGAAGCCATAGGGCAAGGGGCCTGGGTTTGTATCCTTACCAGACAGGATCCTGGGCCAACTAAAGAGTGGGGAGAGGGGAAGGTGGGTCTGAAGAAGCAGACAGAAGAGACCTGGCAATGAAACTGGGCATCTGTAATTTGGATAGAAACTGTCACTCCAGCCACCCTCGGGGCTGTACAAATTTATATAACCACCTGTAACGTGTGAGAATTTTGGTTTCCCTACCATCTCTTCTTATAGGTGTATCATCAAGTTCTTGGATTTTTCTCAAATTCATAAACAAAAAATTGTCTTTCACATTAATTTGTATTTCTCTTACTCTGAGTGTGATCAAACATCTTTATCTTTTCATAGGTTTAAGAGTGATTTGTATTTCCTTCTCATTAACTGTTCGTGACTTTGGCAATGTTTCCATTGAGCTGTTGCTATTTTCTTACTGGTTTGCAGGAGCTTTTTTTTAAAGTAGAAGGGAAACTGTGATATGAGTCACATCTTTTTCTTCTCTCCCCAGTCTGTCACTTGCCCTTTGAGTTGCTTGTGCTGTTTTAAAAAAAAACACCCCCTCCCCCCAAAAAAAAACCACCCAGAAGTTTTTGAGTTTTACGTTTTCAGATTTAAAGGTATTTTCTTTCTTAGCTTCTAAATTTGGAGTCATAATCAGAAAGTCTTCCCTACTCGCAGGTGAGAAAGGAATTCTTCAAGAAGAATTTTAAGGAGCCCCAGTAGATCTTGTTCCTTCTCTCTCTCGGATATTTTGTCCCCACCACATGACTAAGACCTGTAGATTGTGGGCATTCTTCTGTCCCCCAAACACTGGGGAAATATCATCAAAATAAAAAAAGACCATGAAATCGCAGACTTGTCATGGCTTGTGCAGACTGTCTGTGGCTGGTGACACAGGCATAAGAAGAATTTACCATGACAGTTTAGGTCAAGAAAGGCAGATTTATTACAGAAAGTAGGAAAATACATTGCAAGGGAGCAATGGGCAGGTCAGTAAGAGAGGAGGTGATTGCCAGGAGACAAAGGCCTTTTGGGGATTTTATAAAATGCAATTTGGGCTGAAGAGTGCTACGTGGAGGACTGACAACGTCAAGGTAGCTGGGAGCTAACTTGCATTCTTCTGTCAGCCAAGATGTTTGATGATAAGTTGAAGCATTTGATGGTAAGCAGGAAGACTGTGAGTTATGTGTGCAGGAGGGTCATATGTCCTGGGCCATAAAGAAAGGTAGACCTATAGCTTCTCTGCTTCTTCTTTCTGTTTGTATGTACTAGACCACGAAGCAAGGTAGACCTATAGCTTATCTGCTTTATCTCTTTGCTTTCCCCTAGACCCCCAGACTGACTCCTCTTCCCTAATTAGGACTTCACAAGACCAAGTTCAAGCTAAAAACAATGTAATTTTTAAGTCTTCTCTGTTGCCACAGTAGCAGGTCCAACCTGGGGTATTCTCTTAGAGAAATCCAAGTGATTCCAAGTCAAAATTTCCAGCCTTGCCACAGACTCCATCACCCATGAGATATCCAAGCGTGACTGCCTGGAACTAATCCCATAATACTGTAACCATTGAGAAACATCTGCTGAGACATCTTGATGTGACGTCATCTCCCATAATCACTCCACAGCAGAGGGGTTGCCTAGTTGTGAACATTCCCCTAGATACCACCACACCCAGACTGTAGAAGGGCAACTTCTTCATTTTATTTTTTGAGACAGGGCCTCACTCTGTCACCCAGGCTGGAGTGCAGTGGTATAATCTCAGCTCACTGCAACCTCTGCCTCCTGGGCTCAAGTGATTCTCCCACCTTGGCCTCCCAAGTAGCTGGGACTACAGGGATGTGCCACTATACCTGGTTAATTTTTGTATTTTTTTTTTAGAGATGCGGTTTTGCTATGTTGTCCAGGCTGGTCTTGAACTCTTGGGCTCAAGTGATCCTCCGGCCTCAGTCCCCCAAAGTGCTTGGATTACAGGTGTGAGCCACCGTGCCCATGCAGGGCAGCTCCTTTATACTTGTACACCTAACCTGACCTCTGACATGTGGCCTCTGGTCCCTCCGTTTGTCTCCGATGGTGGCACATCTTCATCTTTGTTATTTATCTGCAGGAACACTCAGTCTCTTCAGCAGCCGAGAAAACACACACACACACACACACACACACACACACACACACAGACACACACACAATGGGAGTCCCATTCTCCCCCTCTGGGCCAGGGGATGGCTTCCTCCCTTGCTTTCTGGTAACCCATACTTCACTTGGAACTACATGCCTGATTACTAGATTCTTCTTGCTTGGAAAATATAATATCCCATCTTGGTATCCTGCCTAAATTATTAATGGAGCGCCTTAAAACTCTTGCTGACTACAAATAGATCAGTCTTCCTAAAG